CCTCTTTCCTGCACTGCAGATGTATTTATTGTTTCTTGGCATTGGAATCAAGGAGCCCGGACCCTTCAGAATTTGAAAAAGGGTATTTTTTTAGAGTGATTTGCATTCATGAAGCTTGTCAAATTGTCCGACCTTGTTTCAGTGGAAGAGGCATTGCGGGTGCCATCCTTGTGTGTACAGCCCCCTGCGGCACAGTGCCTCTGGGTTTGTAGCTCCTGGGACTGAAAATCCAGGTACGTGGGGCATCTGTCTTCTGGTGAGTCACACCCAGGTGGTGGTGAAACCTTTCGACGCTGCTTTGCAGATGCCACCCACAGAGATGCCCCGTGCCAGAGCTGAACAGCACATGTGTAGGGCTCAGGAGGCAATTCAGTTTCCCTGCCTGTCTGCAAATTTGTCAGGGTTACTGCTTGCACTCTAGGCATATCTGTGTTAGCCCGAGATAACTTGTAAACTTAAGCTTACAAGAGCCATCATGAAACTTTTACACAGCAGCAACGCTCACCTAGGTCCCCTTTTCCCTCCTCTTATTGAGGAGGTTTCTGCTACGTGATATGACTTTGGCTTATGTGATCTTGCTCTGGTTTCAAGTAAATTGAAAGGAAGGGTAAAAAAAAGAAAGAGGGCTTCTAAATAAGGCTTGCGATTTCAAAACAGCAAATTTTCAGAAATAACAGGTGCCAGGCAGTACAGAGGTAAAGCGAGATTTGCCAAACAGCAGGCTGAGGAAAAACTCTGCAAAGAAAATCAGAAGAAGATTTTAGCCCTATGCAGCAAAAGAGGAGAGCGAAAGCCTGCAAAGCGTGGCCTCCGAGTGCAATTAAGTTTCACTTCTGTTTTCAGTGAGGATGATGATGCTGAACAGGAGGGCGAAATGGCAAATGGGAATGACGTTACAGAAATGGAAATGATCGCATTGAAAGTATGGTGAGGCAAAAGAAGTTTAATATATGCAAGATGGGGAGAAAACTGAGACGTTGGATCTAACTTACAATCTAACAATTGTAAAGTATGAAGGCTAGTACACAGGTTTAAAACAAGCCTGTACAATCTCTATAACTAAACCAAAGGGAAAATGTCCTGTTTGTACTCGGAGGACTATGAGTCACCAGTGCAACACGGCCATGAAAAGAAAAGCGGAGTCTCTGGTGTGTACCAGAGTTGTTACCCCTAAGGAGTGCGGGAGTGCTTGTGCCATCACACAAGGTCCCACGGGCCTCACCTGTCTTCTGACCCGGGCTCCAGAAAGGGGACTTCAGAGAGGTGTGGGTACAGGGAAGGGCTCTCGCCTTGTGCAGGGAAATGGAGAGACTCTTACAAATGGAAATTGGAAGAGTAGGGTCATCTGAGCCTAGCCAAAGTCTGAAGGGAGCTCTGGCTGTGCTCAGAAAATACACCAGAAGGTAAACGGCAGAGATGGGAAAAGGCTGTTTCACTAAATGACTCTTCTGGCACAGGAACAAAAAACTGTCGATGAATAGATTTAAGTTGGCAGTTGTACATATTGGTGGCTGACTAAGTAACAGCCACCTGGCAGGTGCAAGCGGGTTAATACCCTAATTCAAGACAGGATGGTCAGTTAAGGAAAAGGGATTATGTGATGGAACACAGGTTATAGGAAACAGTGGATTTGGTGATCCATGGACTCCTTATATTCTTTTAAGTCATTCTGAGTTCAAAACAATTATATTGTCTACATTTTAAAGTAACAGGACTACCTTTTGACTTCTCTGGAGTGCTGCTATTAACAATATTATCAATGCCACAGTGTTGGTAATAACTTTCACTTCTTCCCAGTTGTATGAACCCAAACAATGACCTCCTAGTATTTTTCAGCCTGCACATCAGTTGCTACTTAGTAATCATCAGAATATTTTTATTAACTTCATACAGATACTGCACCTTTTTACAGATTAAAATTACCAATTATACCCAAAATGGTAGATTAACATCCCGGTTAAATTAGAGGCAGTGTTTAATGTTTGAAGTTTGAATATACCTCCATGATTAGACTAACGAGATGTGACCTCTGTGTTTTTCTTGGTGTGCTTACAGGGACTTGGATACTTGCCAGCCAGATTGATCCATGTTCTTAACCCATTTTGCAAATGCAATTACCAAGGGGCTTAGATAAAGTCAGTGCAAGAGAAAACAAAGTTGTTCATGGGCAGGATAAGTCTGTTTAATACTGCAGAAACTACTCCTTCAGTTGCAAGGAAGCCCTTCAAAATTATTTTGTTACGGTACCTTTTCCACATTGGCAAGTTAGCTCCAAGGGTGCAGCTATATACCAACTGAGGCAGAGGGTGGGCTTCAGTGGGCTTTAGCAGGAGCAAGGCTGAAGATTAAGAGCAGGTTTGCATCCTGTGGGAAGACACCCACACTGCTTCGCCAGTGCTAAGCCCAGAAGCAGGAGCTCTGGGGAGCTCTTGTCAGAGCAGTGGGAAGAATCTGTAAATAAGGTAGCTAAGAATAGACCATATACTGTTATACTGAATATACTGCCAGTTTTATAGGTCTTGTCCAAATTCCTGGCTGCCTCTGGGCATAATCCGCACCGAGACAGCTGAAGTGCTAATGAACTTGCCCTCCTGACAGTGCAACATGGGAAGCAGGAAAGGTTAATAACTGATGGGACTGGCTTGACCACGCATGTTTGGGAAGCAAGAGGTAGTGAGCAGAGAGAAGAAAGTGCACAGATGGCTTCTTTAAATGATGAGAATGTCTTTGAATAGGATATGAAAGGTAAAATAACATTTTGGCAGAATTTCCTAGCTACTGTGCGTGATGGGGGACACACAGACCTACTTGGGAAGAAAATGGGTGACAGCAAATGAATATCTTACCTAGGTAGTGACTCAGCGTTTAAGCTGAGACCTGCTGCCATTTTACGTGCCAAAGGGTACCTGAGCCACCCAGAAGAGATGTCCTGACAGGTTAGACTCTGTGTGCCCTCCTGGAATGCCAAGCGAGCACCCTAAGAGACACAAGAATGGACCAAACACCTATGTTCAGGCACCTGATTCACCCTGTAATAACCAATTTCTTGCTGAAATTCCTCCCTCTCCACCATCTTCAGCACCAAGAGGCCAACAACATTGCCAGAAAGGCGAGACAAATAAAAATCCCAAGAAAGGTGTCATCTGTTACCAGTCTGTGCTAATCCTGCCTGAAACAAGGCAGTCAGATCTGGCGTGGTAGAGCTTTTATGTCAGCTATTGTGCTAATGAACCTATGCTGTTTATGGGGTGGCTGTTTTCTGCCTGGTGTTGCTTTATAGACCATCCTTGAAATAACAGTGCAAACACTAACTGATCACAGCCTTCAGTTAGAGGGATTTTTTAGCTGATTTGCTGAGTTAATCGGCCAATGTTCTTCTTACCTGTACCGAGCAACCATAATCTTGAGTTCAGAAAGGGTATAATCATATTTAGAAAACATGGTTTATTACCTGAAGCTTTAGTTCTGAGAAAAGATTGCTTGTAGACCCAACCATTAAGAATAATTAACCTGCTGCTCTGCTACCTGCAAGCTCAGGTCTCTGCTACCTTGGAGATTTCTCCATCGCTTGGTGTACGAAATGAGTACTCTAGATATACTGTCAGGCAGTAGTCATCCCCTAATGGTTTCTTGGGGTTAGCTGCAGTCGCTTGTGTGCAAGATCAGTATGTTACTCTTGAATACATCCTTGGATTTGCCAGAAGTCAATCTGGGGGTGCAGATGTCTGCCAATTGCATGAGCAAAGGCATTCTGTGCTAGGCATTTGCAGTGCAAAATGCCTGAAGATGGGAAGCAACATGAAGGTTACATGCCTGCATGGACATCGGCAAATGTTAGGTTATATAGGTTATACAGAAAAAATATTCAAAAGCTTATAGCTGAAAACCTCTTTGTTTATTTAGTGTGTTATATACAGGTATCTGTGAGACTCATGAAATCTTTTCATCCTCTTTTATCTGGGGCCATGAGGAAAACAAAAGTGCCTTTATTTCCCTCAGCTTATTTAAAACATGTATGTATCTGCATGCAAAGTATGGTTGTAGTCGAACCTCACACTCAAGATAGCTGAAGGTAGAAATCAGGGAGAGAGATTTTTCCATGATGTACAACTGACCCGATGTGTTTTAGGGAGCAGAGACAGTGCCTTCTTACAGAGTGCTGGGGACTGGCCATAGCTGAAGCAAGGAGCTGGGACAAGAGGACTCAGATAATGCAGAAAATACTTAGATATATGGGCATATATATATATAAAATATCAGATATATATAGATGTATAAAAATATA